ATCATTATTCAATAGATTTTTCCAGGGATTCAAAATGTGAAGGGAACCTTTCAATTTCTTTCTTAAATTTTCAGTATTCTGTAACTCAGGGGGGGTAAAAACACGAACAGGGTAAGATTTTTAGATCTGGCATCAATTATCTGATTTCTATGATAAAACTATATTGATAATTTTGATGTAAAAAAAACAATGATCGGTTTTTAAGAGACGTATGAGAGAGTACGTTATCAGGAAATGCAAAAATATGAATAACAAATGTGAGTACATCATAAAACATTTAAAGAGTTTTATCAAAAAGATAAGAAATAATTGTGAACATTTTTTCTTAATCAAAAACATTCAGTTGTCAACATATTCTCATTCAGGTCAGGAATAAAGTGGGGGGAAGGGGGGGTTGTATTGTTACCACCTCCCCCCCCCTACCCCCGCCCTCTTCTTTCGGTCAAAAAAAACAATAATGATAATGATGATAATATTAATTAATGGCAGCCCCGGGCCCTGAAAGACAACTCTACAATAACAATTTCCGGCACCAGATCGACCGTGCATTCGATCTGTCCAATCAAATTGTCGAGAACTGTTTTCAACTCGTTGGTAAACTTGTTGATCAATCGTTTGATCTAGCCGGGAACCTGACTGCACAAATAGGACAGGTTATATTTGTATTTCTAGAAAGTGAAAATACAAGTTTAAATAATCTGATTGATAATGTTTGCAACATTATCTCTGAAGCTCTTCGATCCAAGCCGGATATCTTTAAAGATATTGTCAAAAATCTTTTATCAGATTTGTAAATACGTGAATTTAAGTGATTAATTTGTTAAACATTGATCGATAAAAAAGATTATAATATTAATAAGTTTAATTCACAATTGTATCCTGCAGAACATACATCTCTATCCGAGTAAAAAAATGGAAGTAATGGTTCTGTTTTCCATCTTAAAATGGGAGTAATGGTTCTGTTTTCCATCTTAAAATGGAAGTAATGGTTCTGTTTTCCATCTTAAAATGTTTTCCATCTTAAAATGAAAGTAATGGTTCTGTTTTCCATCTTAAAATGGAAGTAATGGTTCTGTTTTCCATCTTAAAATGGAAATAATGGTTCTGTTTTCCATCTTAAAATGAGACGAATTCTGACAATTTCTGTAATATTTTCTCGATCACAGGTTTGAAGGATATATTGTGTTGAATCAGACAGGGGAAATGTAAACCACAAAAAAATCCTTTTTTTCAAGAATTTTTCAGTAAAGTATCGGGCAAAGCAGAATTAAGATATTAAATAATATAATTATACAACGATTAATCTTGTTTATTGTGTCAAATTTTTATGATTATTGTATTGATTAAAGTTTATTCTTTAAAATTTCTGAAAGATATTTTCGAGATAAAAAAGTTGAAAAATGTTTTCACTTATCAGTAATAAAGCAGTAAAATAAATGAAAAAATATAACTATCTAAATATTTCAATAGAGAGGGACATAAGGGTGAATGTATATATTACTAATCCGTGTGAATCCCGTTCGCGAGCCCTCATTCGTGCATCGATCCTTATAACATGCGTCCACTTTCATGCGTCCACAAAAAAAGGGACTCTTAAGGAACTTTAAGGGACTCTTAAGGCTTGCCTGATTCCCAACCGTACCCTTGAAATCTTAATTTGATGAATAATGTGGAAGATAACGTTGTTTTTCTGAAAATTCTAATTCAAGACCATTTTTGTTTGCCGAGTCCATTAGCGCCTGATCCAATCAGGGTTCAGTCATGTGTTTGGTGTCTATTCTGAACTAATAGAAATTGCATTGCGGTAACATCTATCTTTCTATCTATCTCATTATCCAATTAGAGATAAATCCTAATATCTGCGCTATATACACTAAATGGAAATATTTACTTCTATTGAAACTATAGTGCAAGGAATGTACTTGATCAGACAAAGTGCCGTTTTTTATCAGGCATTGTCATCTGTGGACGGAGGGTCACTTGAGATTCCGAACCCGCTTCAGCACATCCTTTTATTGGCTGCATTTCTCATTTTTAAAGGGATTGACCGGCTATATAAGGTAGTTTTTTTTTAATTATTGAATAACGACGACAACAAAAGTAAACAAAACTCCACAGTAAACTAATTAGTTGTTTCGGAGCCGGTTGAGAAAAAATAAATTAATCTTATCATCGAAAATAAGTAATCTTGTTCAATTATTAGTTTCTATTTTCTCATTTTTCTAGTTCTCATTATTCACAAAGATTTTCTGCAGATTTTCTAGAATTTTTATTGAAAAGACGACATTTGAAGAATTTGAAGAAATCTGCGAATAAATTCCAAGAAAATAAGAATTTCAATATAATGATGAAAACAAAATAATTGATTATAGTATTGATTTATTGACAAAGTTCTTTTGAGAAATATGTTCCCAACCATCTAATTAGATTACTGTATGATTTTTACTTTATTTTTCGTCGTCGTTATTTAGTAATTGAAAAAAAAAATAATTCTGAAAACGTATCCACCCCTAAAGTAGGAATTTTTAACGTCGAATTTGCGCTCAAACTCAAGATTTACAGATCTTTAAAAAGTGTAATATGTCTCAAATGAATCCGAGAGAAGTTTTCCACAACACTGCATACTCAGTTCAACTACCTTACATAGTCAGTCACTCCCTTTCATGAGAAAAACTAAGATTAAATTATGAGATAATATTATTATTAAAGACCGGACTTTATTATGAAATCCCTACTCTAAAATGCCGTTTTGATTTCTAGTAACAAATCATAAAAGTAAAATAAAAACCCAAACCTTCCAATACTTCCACTATTATTTTAAGATGTACATTGTAAAAAATGCATGTGCATTGTGCAATAAAGTGTAGTTTTTAAAGATTGATATTTTGTTACTAAGTTGTCAAGTTACCAAACTGAAGGAGGGAGGGGTGGCGACTCTCAGGGGTTTAGAATTGCTCCCAGGCGTTTGTAGCGCTCTCAAGATTCTGAAATTGATCCCAGGGTTTTGGAGTAAAATGTAAAAATGTTTTCGACCTTTTGTGATAAGACCTTTAAAAAGGGTACTCGAAAACCGAAAACTGAAAAAAGGGCTCTGCTTCCCGTTTTTTACTGTCTTTGTTCAGATATTTGCAGGGAAAATTGCAAATTTCAGTCCAAGTATCCTGTGGGGATCATATAGTATTTGAGTCCAAGTATCCTGTGGGGATCATATAGTATCCTGTGTATAGTATATAGTATCCTGTGGGGATCATATAGTTTAAGTAGCCAAACTGACGACATTTATCTCACTTATACACTAGAGATTATTAGTAAATGTAAAAAAAAAAAAATTAAAAAATGCTTTTTTACTCAACAGTCACAAAATAAAAATTGTTCTATGTCAAATTTATAGAGCCTTCTCTATATATGGCGTGCACTTTACCAAAAATCATCAAATTATGGAGATATCTGAGGAAAACTAAGAAAAAACATACTTAGGTGCCCCTCTCTCTAGTTTTTCCTGGGAGGGGGACGCCCCCCCCCCATTTTTCAGGGGCTGTCCACCTTTCCCCTCCCTCCCCCCTTAGGACGACATTGCACACTTAAATATTCTACGCTTTCCTTTCTTGAATAGAGATTAAAAATGAAGATCAGAACAATTAAAACAAAGCAGTATGAAAATACAAAGAAGTTTTTAAAGCGTATTGAAGCCTTGAGAACAATATAATCGGCACAATTTAAATTAAATTAGTGTAAATAGCAATGGCCTTGAATTTAAGTAACTGAGTATTAGAGGGATATTTAAAGAAAATTAGTTTTCAAGGGAGTGCCTGTAGTTTTAGTAAAAAACTCAAAATTTTTCTTTGATTATTATTTTTTACCAAGCTATTTAACTTTTATAGCTGGGTAGTGTGGAGTAGACACGATGGAAGGCGATTATACCAATTAATTACATGTAAACTTGTAATTCGAATAAAGCTTGTTAACAATGAAAACATAAAAAAATAAGTCGTCTTCATTATATTGATATTTCCACCTACCACCGTACATTAGGTCAAACAACATAATCATTCTGTTTAGTGGAATGCAACATAACCATTATGTTTAGTGGAATGCAACATAATCATTCTGTTTCGTGGAATGCAACATAATCATTCTGTTTAGTGGAATGCAACATAATCATTCTGTTTAATGGAATGCAACATAATCATGCTGTTTAGTGGAATACAACATAATCATTCTATTTAGCGGAATGCAATATAACCATTCTGCTTAGTGGAATGCAACATAATCATTCTGTTTCGTGGAATGCAACATAATCATTCTATTTAGTGGAATGCAATATAACCATTCTGTTTAGTGGAATGCAACATAATCATTCTATTTCGTGGAATGCAACATAATCATTCTGTTTAGTGGAATGCAACATAATCATTCTTTTTAGTGGAACGCAACATAATCATTCTGTTTCGTGGAACGCAACATAATCATTCTGTTTCGTGGAATGCAACATAATCATTCTGTTTAGTGGAACGCAACATAATCATTCTGTTCAGTGGAATGCAACATAACCATTCTGTTTAGCGGAATGCAACATAATCATTCTGTTTAGCGGAATGCAACATAACCATTCTGCTTAGTGGAATGCAACATAACCATTCTGTTTAGCGGAATGCAACATAAAAAACATTGATTAATTAAACAAAAACTCTATGGAAGGAAAATAAACATTTAAGAAATTAAAAATAGATTTTGAATGAATTTATTGCTTTACAATAATATTACATATTAAGCTTAAAGGCAACGCGTATTGTGTGTATCATCGTTCATAAATTACTACTACGAACTTTTTTGCTTTGAGGTATAACAATTTTAAAAATTTTTGTTTAAAGGAATTGAGTATTTTTCACAAACTCAAATTTTCTAATCCCTACATCTTTGCAACCTGATGGTGTAAAACTTTGATATTTCAAACTTGGCTTAATTGATCTCAGAGAATTCATAGATTGAAATATCTGTGGTCTAGAACATTGGGTTGCAAAGTTAATAATTAGAAATCACAAAATCAGAGTTTGGGACAAAGACTCAATTCCTTTATAGGTAAAAAAGCAAAACCTAATGATCTACCTGCAAATTCAAAATTGCACAAAAAAATTAATTTTTGTTTTTAAATTTTGTTAGTGTCGATGAGTCAGTCCAAACGACAATGAAGTTGACTGCAGATGTTAATGTTAAGATAATTTTTAATGATTCAAATTCAAATATTGATTTTGATATGAATGTGCGAAGAAAATTTTTTAATGTTAATAAATAATTCTGATAAATTCTAATAGTTCTTTTAAAAGTTGCAGTTATATAAACCTTGATTGATTAAGCAGGTAGGAAAACTGTGTATATATATATTATACAAGATTAAGCTATTTTTGTACGATTGTTTTCTTTAGGGGGGGGGGGCCGGATTTTAAACAACGAATTTGTCCTTTTTTGTATTTACAACGTATTTGTCTTGTGCTAAGAGTGCGACACAATATGAATGACAACTGATTTTTTATATTAACAAACTCCATTTTCTTTTTCATTTTTTTTTCAAGCATGACAAAATTATTTTTTGGACTATTGTTATTTTTATAAAAAAGTTAAATTTTCGCAATTATACTGACATGATACTACTTACAATCTAGTTCATACGTATAGTGTAAACAATAAATGGATTTGTCTATTATAATGAATGAGAGAGAGTCAGTTAAAAAAGTTTCTATCAACCGGGATTTTCAAAACTTGCAGGTTTCGTAAACTTTTCTAATAAAAAAATTAGGAATTAAAAATATTTCTCTTTCATTATTCTTATTTGTTATTTCTAAGCCTTTATGATATCAGTTTTAGATTGCCTGGGTTAGAAATTTATAAATTGAACTTTTAGAGGTTTCAGGAAATATATCTTATCACAGTTGAACATTTCTACAGTTGATCATTACATCATTTTCACCCTCCTCCTCCACCTCCTCAACCTCCTCAAGATCATCTTCTTTTGCATCTGTCTCCTCCAAATCATCATCATCATCATCATCATCATCATCATCATTGTCTTCGTCATCATCACTATTGTCAGGTTCGAGTGCAGATAAGCAGTAAAGACAATTATCTTCACAAAAAACAACAAAAATTTTATTTTTTTGTTGTTGAAAGGAGTCTTGTCTTTGTCAGAAACTCTAATTTTCTTATCTTATATCTTTACAACCCAATGTCGTGGACCTTGAATCTATGAATTTAAAATGATTTAATAATCTAGGTTTGAATTCAAGATTTACATCATCAAATTGGAAAGATTAGAAAATTTGAGTTTGTGGCAAAGACTGAATTCCTTTGATTTTTGTTATTGTGTGATTTTAATTTTGTTATCAAATATTGTTTTTTTGTTTTCTTGTAGGTTTAACCGTTGCTATTCTTACTTATATTGTTTTTATAAAGTTATTTTATCGGTGTTTGTTATTGTTATTATGATTGATATTAATTTTGTTAATGTATTGTTATTGCTGCAGTTACAATATTGTTAAAGTTATAGTTATTGCTATTTATTATATTATTGTTATCACTATTGTTATTGGTCTTGTTATTATTGTTATTGCTATTCCTGGTGTTATTGTTTTTGTTACTGTTATTGTTATTGTTTTTGTTTTTTGTTATTGTAATTATTATTGTTATTGTTATTGTTATTGTTATCGCTATTGTTACTATTATTGTTATTGTTATTGTTGTTGTTATTGTTATTGTTATTGTTTTCTTTCCTAAAATTGAGACTGATGATCTAAGCTGTAAAAGATCAACAGCTGAAGCACAGATGGCAATAAATGCAATATCAACATAAGGACCTGGAAATAGAAAATATCATCATTAGGACCTGGAAATATAAAATATCAACATTAGGACCTGGAAATATAAAATATCAACATAAGGACCTCGAAATAGAAAATATCATCATTAGGACCTGGAAATATAAAATATCAACATTAGGACCTGGAAATATAAAATATCAACATAAGGACCTGGAAATATAAAATATCAACATTAGGACCTGGAAATATAAAATATCAACATTAGGACCTGGAAATAGAAAATATCAACATTAGGACCTCGAAATAGAAAATATCAACATGAAATAGAAAATATCAACATTAGGACCTGGAAATATAAAATATCAACATTAGGACCTGGAAATATTCAGGGTAAAAAAAACTTTGCTTAAAATTATTTCGATTTTGTTTAATTTTGGAAATTACAAATACCATACAGAAAGATCAGGAAATAAAAGCTTCAAGACCCCGACATTAGAATAAACATATTTCGTAAAATTAGGTCAGTTAGAAACCAAGATCTGTTACTTAAAATTTTTAAGATGAGAATTTTTTCTTAGAAATAACAAAAATTCTGGTTTTATGTTTATTTTCAAATTAAGTGAACAATGCCTTTAAGTGAACAATGCCTTTAAGTAAACAATGCCTTTAAGTGAACAATGCCTTTAAGTAAACAATGCAAACCTATTTCCAGTGTGTACATGTTAAGTTCAGGAGCCAGGAAAACCTGAAATAAAACTTTTATTGATTTTTTTAAACTAATTCTTTATAATCTTCCTGACAAGGCAAGAAGATTTACATATAAACGATCTTGTTCAAACACCTTTTCATACGTTTGTCATTGAAACTTGATTCCTGGTTTTTTGTCCTTGCTTTATTTACTATGGTCCTTGGTCTTTTAATCCTTAATCCTTCGTTTTTTTACTTTGGGGTTGGTCTTTGGTCCTGGATCGGTGGTACATGGTTAGTTTCTTCCATAAATTACCTGTGGCCCTCTTCCTTCCTTCTGATGATAGACTTGAGCAACCTTCCTTTTCCCTCCTTAACGTACATCCAATTAAATATTTATTGACAAGGTAAAAATATACAATATAATATAAAATTAAAATTGTGTTGAAGACATTTTTTCCTTTATTTATATATGTATATATTTATATATATAAAATTTACATATGTTTACATATTGATATGCATATATTGCATATATACAATATGGATATGGATATATATATGTCTATAGATATTCTTTTACTGATTTAGTTATTCTAGTACAGGTTTGAATATTAATAATGTACGTCCTGCCATATATTTGGTCCTAGTTATTCTATTACTGCATGGTTTGAATATTAATAACGTACCGTCCTGCCACATATTTGGTCCTAGTGATTCGTCGTACTGGTTTAAATATTAAAGGTGTACCGTCCTGCCACATATTTGGTCCTAGTTATTATAGTACTGGTTTGAACATTAATAGAGTACCGTCCTGCCATCTATTTGGTCCTAGTTATTATAGTACTGGTTTGAACATTAATAGAGTACTAGTTATTATAGTACTGGTTTGAACATTAATAGAGTACCGTCCTGCCACATATTTGGTCCTAGTTATTCTAGTACTGGTTTAAATATTAAAGGTGTACCGTCCTGCCACATATTTGGTCATAGTTATTATAGTACTGGTTTGAATATTAATAGAGTACCGTCCTGCCACATATTTGGTCCTAGTGATTCGTCGTACTGGTTTGAACATTAATAGAGTACCGTCCTGCCACATATTTGGTCCTAGTTATTATAGTACTGGTTTGAATATTAATAGAGTACCGTCCTGCCACATATTTGGTCATAGTTATTATAGTACTGGTTTGAACATTAATAGAGTACCGTCCTGCCACATATTTGGTCATAGTTATTATAGTACTGGTTTGAACATTAATAGAGTACCGTCCTGCCACATATTTGGTCATAGTTATTATAGTACTGGTTTGAATATTAATAGAGTACCGTCCTGCCACATATTTGGTCATAGATATTCTAGTACTGGTTTTAATATTAATAGAATACCGTCCTGTCATCTTTTTGGTCCTACAGGGTTAACTAAAAAGGATGAGACTGCAAAGACGACTTTAACCTTTTAAAAATAACGATCTCAAGGTTAAGTTAAGACTTCTGTCTTGAATATAGTCTTAATAGCTTTTTATATGATTTAGCGAAGAAAGTAACAATTGTTTAAAGTTGCAAGGAATCATGAGTGTAAGGAAACAGACTGTTTAATTTCCGTCCAATCGGCTCTAAAGTCTCATCCTTTGTGGGTGACCCTTTAGTTACTCTAGTACTGCTTAACTGACAAAAATATAATGCATTGACAGCCATATATATTTGATCATATCTACCCGTGTCAGAGCAATTTAATTTAAGGGACTGTACGTAATATTAAGGGACTGTACGTAATATTAAGGGACTGTACGTAATATTAAGGGACTGTACGCAATATTAAGGGACTGTACGTAATATTAAGTGACTCTGCAACTGCAAGTAAAGGTAATGATCGATTAACAACGATACCCTTAAAAGCTTTGTATAATCAATTATAAATTAGATATAAATGTTTAAACTTTTAAAAACTGATTATTTTCAATTGTAGTTTCACAACAAAACTGACTTACGCATTTCTGCTGCAGGAAAACATACATTATCGGATATATACTTATCAGATAAAACACATTTTCAAGCTAAGGGCTAAATGTTAACGATGTGAATCGGACATTTCCATTTTTGCATCGACGGTCACATAATATTACTCTGAACAGTCCCTTTAAGCAACCTTGAACTAACAGCTTACTTATTGGATATTTTAATTAAAACCTAAAATATACTCTTTCTTCGCGTCATACTTAAATACAGTGTTAGACTTGAAAATACAATAATTGATTATTGGCTTGAACACAGTTTACCAACATCACTACTTGACAATAGCAACAAAGGTTTGGAAGTCGATGTAAAGCATGGTAAAAAAATTAAAATAATTTCAATAGTCATTCATTAGTCCTTCCTTGAAATTAATAAGAAATTTAAAAAAAGATTCTCTGGAGGATTTTTATAACTTATTATTTTTTCTTCATTTTTAAGTTATGAATTAATTGGAAATTACAAAATAGATTTTATGTAAACTTCTAGGTTACTTTTTAGTTTTTTATTGTTTCAGTATTACATGTTATTCTTATCTTTTGGCAAAGTGACTAATTTTACAAAGTTTGTAAAGAATAAAAGAATAAATGTGTATTATTTAAAACTACATCGGATTTAATAATAAATTATGAATATAACTATAAAGAGTTATAATGTATTGCTGAACATCATGAAAATAATGAATATAAAAAATGCAATGACTATAATAAATATAATGAATATAAAGAATATAATGAATATAGCGACTATAATGAATATAATGAATATAATGAAAATAATGAATATAATGAATATTTACCTTATAAGAATGAATCAGGGGTCAATATAATTCCCAAAAAAGCTGATTTTCTCGATCCCAAAATAATTTTTTGCCCCCAATTTTGAAAAAAAATGCCCCCAATTTTAAAAAAAAATGCCCCCAGTTAAAATTTTTTTTTCAAATTCCACTAACACATTTGCCCCATTGCCCCCAATTTTTAAATAAAATGCCCCCAATTTTTAAAAAAAATGCCCCCAGTTAAAATTTTTTTTTCAAATTCCACTCACACATTTGCCCCATTGCCCCCAATTTTAAAAAAAATGCCCCCAATTTAAAAAAAAAATGCCCCCAGTTAAAATTTTTTTTCAAATTCCACTCACACATTTGCCCCATTGCCCCCAATTTATAAAGAATTAAAGAATTTTCCCCCATTTCTTTCAAATTTGTCAATCCCAAATGGGATTGAAAAGGGAATTATATTGACCCCTGGAATGAATGAATATTTACCAAATAAGAATGAATATAATGAATATTTACCTAATAAGAATTAATATAATGAATATTTACCTAATAAGAATGAATATGTATTGCTGGAAATATCCCCTGCTATCAAAAGATCAGGATTCCTGTAGTTCTCAATGTAAACAATCCAAACCAAACCATAACAAATTTTATTTGCGAATTAACGCCTGGCTTTTAAAAAGGAAATCAAGTCTTACTTTAATTCAAAGTGTTCTTTCTCCCATTTAAAGAGTTACATGAACGGTTCACAACAAAATAAGAATAACAAAAATATTTTTCTGAAAAGAGGTAATTTTGGTTTTTGACGCATGAATCCGCAAATCACATATCAAGAGATTCCGCAATTTAAAATGATTAATTTTTCACAATGAAAAACAATTTTAGATAAAGGTGTATGGGAAGAATCTGTAAATAGAGGGTCAGTTAAAATAAGGTCGATGGTCCATTTAAGAGTGTTTCACTTTTATGATAATAAATGTAAGCCATACAGCATCAAAATTTTTGTTATATTAATAACTTAAAACATATTAATATGAACAATCTGAAATGGATTTATTTTTGTATTGCAGTAATTCTATTAAAAATTGTATTTTCTGTAGTTTTTCCTTGTTTGCTGTTGGTTGGTAGGTTGAATGGTTTTAGAAATAATTACAATACTATTGTGTATTGAGGTTATTTGTAAACTTTGTTAGTTAGAAGTAGGGCTGGGCACGGTCTAACTTTTTCTAGCCGTTAGTTCTAACCATTAAAAAATAAAAATTTCAGTTAGCCGTTACTTTTAAAGGTAAGAACGAAACGTTCGTTCCGTTAAGGCATTTTCCGTTTTTTAAATAACCGTTAGTTAACGATCTCAATTTTATTAACAGTGTTAGCGGAAAATTTTTAACAATCCTTAATCATTAACGGCACAGCTGTTAACGGTATAATACAGTATTAACGGCGTTAACGGCGAAAAAAATCTTTAACGGCTTATAAACGCAGAAGACGACATTTAAAAACATCAAAACGCAAAAAAATTTAAACTTTTTTTAATTCATGTAATTTTAGTTAATGTTTTGAACCGCAAAATTTTTAAACAGCTAATCCGTTTCGTGAACGATTCAAAAATTGACGGGTTTTGCCGTTCGTTAACGGACTCTTCCGTGAATTTTCGAAAACCTCTGTTTCGTTAACGAAACTTTGCCCAGTCTTAATTAGCTTGTAAGATTTGCTTTACAAAAACTGGACTGTTGCGTAGATATATCGCTTACCATTAAAATGCGAAATTCCGCAGAGTTTAGAAATTTCTGACACGAAAGTGTTCATATGTACTTAGAAATTGTAAATTCAGAACTTTTGTAAATCTCGGGATCAAACAATTCTCATCTCATTCAGGGATAACTTTAAATTAAGAGATTAAGAATTTTCCTCGAAAACGACCACATTGAATATCGAAATCAAGCGTTTGTGGAAGACGAGACCCAGCGGCCTCCTTACAGCAAAGCCAGGAACAAAGAAGAGAGCTGGAGAATACTACGCTGCATTCTCTCAAGATCTATCAATGTGATTTCGACCGATATATATAGACTTGGTTGTTATCTTATAAACTAAATATATACTGAAGAAAGATTCCTCGCGTTATTAGAGACCGACTCTACGTCCTCCATACGTTCAAGATTAACAATACTCTGCTCAAAAAAGTTCCGATCTCAGATCGGGTTTTAAAAGTTGGGGTCGGCCAATTTAATGAATTTAAGCTGCGTCTCAAATCCCCCAAAACCGGTTTCAATTGAGCGCCGGCTTAAATCTTGAAAAATTCAATTCATAATTAAGTGGAACCACCAAAATTTGAGCCGCGGCTTAAATTTAAACTGCGGCTCAAATTCTTTAAATTCGGCCTCAGAATACCTAACTTAAGATAATTACTTAACATGATTGTAAGTAATTACAAGAAATAAAGTTCTGCTAAGAAAACATTTCGACAAAAGACGAGAATTAGGGTCGGAGGAAGGCCAATCCAGTTTTTGAATATTTGCAGTGTATACTAGAATTTACATATTTAGATACGGTTGAATTGGTTTCTAACATTAATAGCTTAGACTGGGGTAAAGCCCTCTTCCTTCCTTCTGATGATAGACTTGAGCAACCTTCCTTTTCAAATATTGATTTTGATATGAATGTGCGAAGAAAATTTTTTAATGTTAATAAATAATTCTGATAAATTCTAATAGTTCTTTTAAAAGTTGCAGTTATATAAACCAATTATATATAAATTATATATTTGAAAAATCGCAAGTTTAGATCCGGGAATTATATTGTCTGGTCTAAACTCTAACTATAGAAGATTGTTGTTCATGTTTAGAATATTAAACATATTGTACTCAGTACATTGGAGATATTAAACATATTGTACTCAGTACATTGGAGATATTAAACATATTGTACTCAGTACATTGGAAATATTAAACCAATTGTGCTCAGTATAATTAGAGATATTAAACATGTTGTACTCAGTACATTGGAGATTTTAAACAAATTGTACTCAGTATATTGGAGATATTAAAAAAATTGTACTCAGTATATTGGAGATATTACACAAATTGTACTCAGTATATTGGAGATATTAAACATATTGTACTCAGTACATTGGAGATATTAAACAAATTGTTCTCAGTACATTGGAGATATTAAACATATTGTACTCAGTATATTTGAGATATTAAACATATGGTACTCAGTATATTGGAGATATTAAACATATTGTACTCAGTACATTGGAGATATTAAAGATATTGTACTCAGTATATTTGAGATATTAAACATACGGTACTCAGTACATTGGAGGTATTAAACATATTGTACTCAGTTTATTGGAGATATTAAACATATGTTGACACGGCCCGTCCTACCATAGGATTGAAATGCTTTTCAGAAGGTACTTCATTTGAATAAGAAATATTTGTCTGATTTACAATAACGCGTATACAATAACCTATTCTGAATATTTCTTTAAAAAATGGAGTACCGTCTGCAAAGCATGTATAGTCATATGGTAGGGCGGGCCGCGTCAGTTGTATCTCCCTTCTATTCCATACTCCTTGGTCTGGACTCCTGAACCTGAAGTTTACATAATGAAATTGTTAGATTTGATTTTGTTCCAGCTGGTTTGTTTATATCCTGTTTATAACAGGTTTCCTACTGCGGTACAATTGTTTATACCAGCTAAACATGCGATATTCAAATATATTTTATCAAACTTTAGTCTATGCAGAATATAGACAAAACTTTTAAATGAATAATTATCCTTGGAAAATAATGCACAGTATACCGTGGTACTTCATCATCAAACAAAACTCAAATAATTTTTTTGGATAACATTTTGCTCATTTTCCGGGAACTGTACTTTTGATTGTAAGACTTTAGATTGTAAGATTGAAAATTGTAATTGGCTTGGTTTGTTTATTTTGGGTTGGTTTGGTTTGGTCTGTTTTGTTTTGTGTTGTTTTTGTTTTGTTTGGTTTGTTTTAGTTTAGTTTGGTTTGGCTTGGCTTGGTTTGGTTTGGTTTGGTTTGATTTGGTTTGGTTTGGTTTGGATTGGTTTGGTTTGTTTACATTCCTGTCTGAATTATCAATGAATTGACAATGTAGAGGTGGATTGCTGATGTACACATGTACTTTACTTCTTCTACCCATGTACTTGTGGTACAACGTAGCAACTACAGGACCAGGAGAGGAACCAAGCATTATCTAGTACAACAGTACAGTGAACGGGAGAAGTACATTGATCTAGTACAACAGTACAGTGAGCGGGGGAAGTACAATGATCTAGTACAACAGTACAGTGAGCGGGGGAAGTACAATGATCTAGTACAACAGTACAGTGAGTGAAGGAAGTGCAATGATCTAGTACAACGGTACAGTGAGCGGGGGAAGTACAATTATCTAGTGCAAGAGTACAGTGAGCGGGGGAAGTACAATGATCTTGTACAACAGTACAGTGAGCGGGGGAAGTACAATTATCTACTGCAAGAGTACAGTGAGCGGGGGAAGTACAATGATCTAGTACAACAGTACAGTGAGCGGGGTAAGTACAATTATCTAGTACAACGGTACAGTGAGCGGGGTAAGTACAATGATCTAGTACAACGGTACAGTGAGCGGGGGAAGTACAATGATCCAGTACAACAGTACAGTGAGCGGGGGAAGTACAATGATCTAGTACAACAGTACAGTGAACGGGGGAAGTACAATGATCTAGTACAACGATACAGTGAACGGAGGAAGTACAATTATCTAGTACAACAGTACAGTGAGCGGGGGAAGTACAATTATCTAGTGCAAGAGTACAGTGAGCGGGGGAAGTACAATGATCTAGTACAACGGTACAGTGAGCAGGGGAAGTACAATGATCTGGTACAACAGTACAGTGAGCGGAGGAAGTACAATGATCGAGTGCAACGGTACAGTGAGCAGGGGAAGTACAATGATTTAGTACAACAGTACAGTGAGCGGTGGAAGTACAATGATCTAGTACAACGGTACAGAGAATGGATATTATTTATCCACAAAGGATGAGATTTTATGACGACCTGAAACTCTGTAGATATGAAGTTTGAATTTGGTTTTGTACATTGTACAATGTTTTTTAACTATTTACAAAGAAAGAGATAATATTAAAGTTGCAGTGAACCATGCAGTCTCATCTTTTGTGGGTATACACATCTTATATCAGACATGATATTTCAATTTTCGAAATGAATGAAAATAAAATCCAAAAATGTACGCAAACAATCGGCTATTTTGACAATATTGTATTCTATTTTTGGTTTTATATAAATAACGGGAATTGTACCTTTTTTAAAGGTTAATAGTAAAGCTAAGCAAATTGTTTTGTCTTTTTTCTCTAAATTTGGTTTTCAACTTGGTTGATATTTAAATGACAAGTTTAAAATAATCCATTTGTTGGATTTGAACATTTAAAATATATTGAATACAGAGGGAAATCTAAATAGAATTCGACCCAGTACTATACAGTGGCCCTCAAAATAATGTGGAATATTTTACTACTGCGATTTGAAAAATGTAAAGTCAAAAAAATCTATTCGTCGATGAAGGCCTCCAAATTTACCCCATCTAAATTTATAGAATTTATACCAAAACAATATATGTCTATACAATTACCCAAGATATACTCGTAGCTATCTACTACCCAAATGTTAGCTAGATCTATAAATTACCAAAGCTACAACTATCTAATACCTAAGTTTTAAGCTATTTATAACGTGCCCGGAGCTATAGCTATCTATTACTTAAGCTAGAGATATCTAGCTTTTTCCCAAGCTACAGCTTTTTACAGTAATACCCATAATACTGTGGAAATGGACATGTAAGCAATCTGCTTTGATGTTGTTAAAATGCCAATAGGTTTAACTGTAGCTTGAAAATCGTCTTAGCAAGTAAAATGGATCTGTGTACACTGCACTGTACTTTATGTGCATCCGAATATTTATAATTATAACTTAAATGAAGCATTCTTGATCCAATACACAGTTTTATAGGGCCACACTGTATTACCAAAGCTGCAAATTGAAAAATTACCCAAGCTAGTAAAGGGCCCCACTGTATTATCGAAGCTATAATTTTATGTAAATATTACCCAAGCTAGTAAAGGGCCCCACTGTATTATCTAAGCTATAATTTTATGCAAAAATTACCCAAGCTAGTAAAGGGCCCCACTGTATTATCGAAGCTATAATTTTAAGTAAAAATTACCCAAGCTAGTAAAGGGCCCCACTATATTATCTAAGCTATAATTTTATGCAAAAATTACCCAAGCTAGTAAAGGGCCCCACTGTATTATCCTAGCTATAATTTTATGTAAAAATTACCCAAGCTAGTAAAGGGCCCCACTGTATTATCGAAGCTATAATTTTATTACCCAAGCTATTGAAATTGAGCAGGATGTTTTCTTTTCCAAGGAGGCGACTACGTTCCCCGCATCGTCTCTGAACTCCAGGGAGTTGGTCAGGAAGCTTCCTAAACACAAAATTATGAAAGGGACAGGTTGCAAATATTGAAAACTGCCGTAGAGTGAAGAAGTTGATCGGTGTTATTCTGACTTTGATAATTAGTATATCATTATCAAACACAATTATGTATTTGATATTGTTAAAACGAAAATTAAGTAAATTAGGTCTGCATACACTGCATAATTACTGTTTTCATGGACTATTACAAATTTAAACTTGAGTCTAAAGTCGTCTTTCTATTTTCTGCAGAAACTCTAAAGTGACCAAAGACATCATTTTGAGTTTAAACAAAACGATTTAAAGGGACTGTAAGCGTAATTTCGAGTGACCACCCATGCAAGGATGTCAATAAACGGTACCCTTGAAAGCTTAGTCTGATCAAGTATGAATTAGATATCAATGATCAATGTGTTTGCTTCATTAAAATGTTTATTTTCATTTGCGGGTTCTCTGCGAAAGTACCTTTGCGCAAGTCCTTGTTTATAAGAACAGCGGAGAAGCTCATGCAGAAGAAGAAATAAACACCTTTTGAATCAGAAAAACGACGATATCTTCCACATTTTTAATCAGATTAAGGTTTCCAGGGTACCGTTGGGAATCGGACATTGCCATATTTGCATGGAGGGTTACTTGAAAACTTGAAATTACACTTACAGTCCATCTAACAGTCGTTGAATAATATTCAAGATAAAATCTTGCTTATTGGGACACTCTGTATAATAGGAACGATTCAAATTTGTTTAATAGCAGCACTTCTTTCAGATTTATTATTTTTTCTTTAAATTGGTTTGGCTAGACCATTCTTCTCAAAATTATTTGGAAATTAATTATTTTTCCCTTCATTGAAATGTAACAGTCATTCTTGTTAATTAAATGATAAATATCTAATTCATTTTAAAACGGAATTTAAGAACATATTTCTTTAAAAAGGTAGCTCTGTTCGTTCTACAGTAATAACCATAAAACTCTGTAATTAGAAGACGAATTTTAAACTCAAATTATGTCTCAAAATAGTCCAATAAACATGAGACTCCCCTATTGTGCAGTTTAAACAGACCCGTTTTACTTAATAATTTATTTAAGTTACAATTAAAACTATTTGCTTTGTAGTTTTTAATCGTTTTTTAAAACAATCCAAAAAAGCGATCGTTTTTTTATTTTCGTTTCGTTTTACGCTCAAAACGTTGTTACTGTTTCTAGAAAAAAAAGATGACTCACAACAAACCAACCACTCGTTTGGAACTTTTTAAATTCGAAAACGATCGTTTTTTTATAAGACGATATTTTTTTTAAAAAACGATCATTTAAAAAGAATTCGCTAACGAATCTGAGTTTTAAGACAATTAATTAAGACAATTTCTTTTTATCGAGAGAAATAATCTGAATGTTTTCCGACCAAAACATGTATTTGTCTTTAAAAGGTCGTCAACGATCATTAACGAAGGGTTGTTGTTAACGATCTTTAATTAAACGTCGTCGTTAAAGATCGTTAACGATCGTCAAAAAAATTCCTACATACGTTTGTCAACGAAACGATGAACTAAAACTAAAACACGACTTGTTCATTTTTTTATTTTGAAAAATGATCTTTTCAAAAATGACAGTTTCGTTTTACGCTTTTTCTTTGTTGTTTCAAAAAAAAATTAAAACTATCCATCCCTATTTGTAACAAAATTAAAATTAACTTCACAACAACATTAAAATTAACTTCACAACAACATTAAAATTAACTTCACAACAACATTAAAATTAACTTCAATATTGTTTAAAAGTCTTCTTCCTATTCCACAGTTTTCTGGTTCTCACTGTATATATTAGGTAACCCTAAACAGGGGTTTTGTGAGTATAATAAAGACTCTTAAGCCCCACTGTTGCAAAAAGGAAATATTGTCTATATTGAAAATATTGAAAATATTTATAATTTAGAATCTGGACCTGATTTTCGGAGAAAATAGAATCCTCTAGAGTCCAGTATATTGCTTTCAACTGAGTACATCCGGCTCTTTTTTAATTTCAGAGTAGTGAACCGGTTAAGTGTATAGGAATCCTAAATAACTCGGTTTAGTGTGTAGAAATCCTAAATAACTCGGTTTAGTGTGTAGAAATTCTAAATAAACCGGTTTAGTGTATAGAAATCCTAAATAAACCAGTTTAGTTTGTAGGAATCCTAAATAAACCAGTTTAATGTTTAAGAACCCAAAATAAACCAGTTTAGAGTGTAGGAATCCTAAATAAACCGGTTTAGTGAATAGGAATCCTAATAAACCGGTTTAGTGTATAGGAATCTTAAACAAACCGGTTTAGTGTATAGTAATCCTAAATAAACAATAAACTGGTTTAGTGATTAGGAATCCTAAAAAACCGGTTTAGTGGTAAGGAATCCTGAAAAACAATAAACTGGTTTAGTGTTTAGGAATCATAAAATACATTTAAATGATGATATCTGTGAAAATCCTAAAATTGTAAATATTGAAATTCTTTACCATCATACTATAATTTTAAAATATCCAAAATTTCAAATTTTGTTAAAAGTTATAGATTTTCTGCATGGAGCTAATATTTAATTCACATTGTTGTTCTCTTTGGACCCACGTGTTCTTGTACTCGGGTTTCCATTTCCGGTTCCTGTACCAGCCAGGTTCGGGTCCACAGTCTTTTAGAAAACAACAATAACAAATGCAAAATATCCAAGAAACTTTCTGAATCAATCTCAGATTTATTTCAAACACAAAATATAGATTAATATAAAATAATATGATTGTAAAAAAGATTTTGAATAGGTCAATCAATAAATCAATCAGAATTTAAGGGACGCCCTATGCATATAACCACAATGCAATGCCGTCATGACTATTCTAATCTGGGATTAAAAAAAGAATTTACATTAAATTACTTCTAAATACATACTTTTACATAATCATTCTCCAAAAACTGCTGTTAGTTACTAATTTGGATATGATGTGGCACTGATTGAATGTTACTTAATTTAGAGTCACTTAATTCAGTGTGACACTTGACACTGGATACAGCGCTACAATTGTCATGAGCGCCACTTATTACAGCGCCAAAATTGTCTTAGCGCCACTGATTACAGCGCTACAATTGTCATAGCGCCACTGGTTACAGTGCTACAATTGTCATAGTCCCACTAGTTACAGCACACAATTGTTATAGCGCCACTGATTACAGCGCCAAAATTGTCTTAGCGCCACTGATTAAAGCGCTACAATTGTCTTAGCGCCACTGATTACGGCACTACAAGTGTCATAGCCCCACTGCAGTTACAGCGTAACAACTGTCATAGGGCCACTGGTTAAAGCGTAACAATTGTATAGCGCGACTGGTTACAGCGCCACAATTGTCATAGGGCCACTGATTACAGCACCATTTTATCAAGTGCAACATAATGCTGAAACGCTTGATCAAGCATAACAATGCAATAAGCAACGTTGAAATATGAAAACAGACATTATAAGACTTTTGTTCATTTACAAGATTAAAAAAAGGAGGGTTGCAATCAGAATAAAAAATATTTGTTATGTTTGAATTTGGTTTAATATTTGCAAGTGCATCGCAATCAATAATATTAGTTGTATATCCTGGGTTCTTGACTTATATGGAAAGTTGGAAAGAACTGCATTTTTACTCAACCATAATATAGGCAATTACCCCCAAGCTACTTTCATTTAGGGAAGAGAAAACCAGTAGAAATAATGTTAAAGATAGATGTATTATACCAGATACATAAAAAGAAAGAAAGATAGATAGTTAGATAGGTAGACATAATTTAAGTTCAATATATCTGTCTGTTTGGTTAAGTTGTTATCTGTATGTGTATTTATAATTATTTCAAAAATGCATGCTGCTCTTGTGTCATGCAACCACTCCAGGTAAAATATATATTATTATAATAATAATCTTCAACTTTTCAGCAACATAATTGGTTGTAAGTGCACTGCATATCTGCATTAACTTGATTGGTTGGGCGACAAAACAAAATCTGGAGAGACAAACCCCGGAGAAACACACTCCAGAGACACAAACACCATCAAGAGACAAACACCGGAGAAACAAGCTCCGGAGAGACAAACACCGGAGAAACAAACTCCAGAGAAACAAACACTGGAGAAACAAGCTCCGGAGAGACAAACTCCGGAGAGACAAACACTGGAGAGACAACCTCTGGAGACACAAACACTGGAGAGACAAACTCCGGAGAGACAAACACTGAAGGAACAAACTCCGGAGAGACAAACTCCGGAGAAACAAACTCCAGAGACACAAACGCCATAGTGAGACAAGCTCTGGAGAGACAAGCTCCGGAGACACAAACAGTGGAGAGACAAGCTCCGGAGACACAAACAGTGGAGAAACAAGCTCCGGAGAAACAAACTCAAGAGAGACAAACTTCGGAGAGACGAATTCCGGAGACACAAAACCTGAGACAAACACCGGAGACTTTGAATTCAAGGAATAAAGTCAAATATCTGATATATATGGGAGAAATAATTTCAAAATGATTTTAAAAAGAGAGGGCTGTGGTCTGTGTCCGACGATTGACATTAAATCGACGCGACATAGGGAATTAAGTGGAACGGAGCGCGTCAAATACGGAGCGTTTGCACAAAGAGCTGTTATTGACAATAGCAAAATTACTTAAAGTTTTGTTAAATAAAATGAACCTACCCTAAGGCTGGTTCTGAAGATAGGAATAACAGAAAGTTTATTTTCCTCCGCAAGTCCAAGAACAGGTTCTATTCTTTCCTATTTAAACCAAAAACATTAAAATTTTCTTTTAATTATAAAATTTTGCCATGTATTTTGAATTTTTAAGCTATTGTTAAAAATTTTCAGTTTAAGCAATGGGAAATTACAAGTTGAGAACAAAGACGTGTTATACAGTTCACAGTTTTCTGGTTCTAACTATAATCAACATTGTAATAAAATTGTTCTGATAATTCCGTTTAAAGTTTAAAATGTACATAAATATTCATTTTCACTGTACAGAGTTTCTAAAATGTACATGAATATACATTTACACTGTACAGAGTTTCTAAAATGTACATAAATATTCATTTTCACTGTACAGAGTTTATAAAATGTACATGAATATACATTTACACTGTACAGAGTTTCTAAAATGTACATAAATATACATTTACACTGTACAGAGTTTCTAAAATGTACATGAATATACATTTACACTGTACAGAGTTTCAAAATTGTACATGAATATACATTTAAACTGTACAGAGTTTCTAAAATGTACATAAATATACATTTACACCGTACAGAGTTTCTAAAATGTACATGAATATACATTTACACTGTACAGAGTTTCTAAAATGTACATGAATATACATTTACACTGTACAGAGTTTCTAAATTGTACATGACTATACATTTACCCTGTACAGAGTTTCTAAAATGTACATGAATATACATTTACACTGTACAGAGTTTCTAAAATGTACATAAATATACATTAACACTGTACAGAGTTTCTAAAATGTACATAAATATACTTTACACACTGTACAGAGTTTCTTTGATTTCTTTCGATCACAATAACCCTGAGGCAAAAGCCCAAAGGAGTTACGCACATGCTCTCTCTCTGTCTTGTCATTCAACACAGCAGCAGCTTCTGCCTCAGAATTGTTGTGAACGAAGCCCCTAAATCTATAAAAGACGACATCTAGTGTTATATCTGCATTGTTATTAACCTATGTTTTCCAAAGAGTCACCCTGTTGTATTTATAAATTCTAAGAAATTTATAATTAAAATTAATTATTAAAGCCAAGTTCAACTTTAAAGTTCAGAAATGAATTAATTTTTAAAATTGAATTGATATATTTGCTGATTTTAAGAATTGCATCTATAAAAGGTTGTTTAAAAAAATTCTTTTCGTGGCTTTACTAGAATGAGGCTCAAAGATTTGTACAGGAAAGACAGACAAGAAAAAGGCTGTTATTTGTTATATGTTGGCTTCAGAAGTTTAAGTTTAAGATTAGGCTTAGCTCAGGTTTTTAGAAAGCTTTTTAATCGGAAGAAGAAGGAATTGGGTCTTTGCTACAAACTCAAATTTTCTAATCCCTATATCTTTGCAATCCGATGATGTAAACCTTTGATATTTCAAAATTACATTGTTTGATTTTACAGAATTCAAAGTTTGAAATATCTATGGTGTAGAATATTAGGTTGCAAAGATATAAGGATAAGAAAATCACCACAAAGTCTCAATTTCTTTGAACATAATATGTTGTTTATTTATTTTAAAATTAAAAATAATCATGATAATAATAATAGAAAGTTTAAAATATTTGATTTGATGATGAATGATAAATAAAAATTACGTTTTTGATTTCCTTTGATTTTTTCCCTCCCATCATATCATATAAATAGTTGTAGCTTTCTTATTCGTTTCGGGCTTTCCTCCATTTTTCCAAGATCTGAAATTTTTCATGATTAGAAAATCTGGGAAGGAGGGGGGGGGGGAAGGGAAGGGGCAATGGGGGTACATGAATGTCGTAAAGGCGACATAAACCATTTTATGGTATTCAGATTTCAGAGCTTTATGCTGAGTGCTTAAAAAAACCGCCGATGCAGAGATAATGTAAAATATCATGTACAACCTTCTTAATGTGTTTTAAAAACACCAATTAACCCCTAATTTAGAGCCTTTTTCAAACTCCTTGGACCCCCATTTTAGAGCTCCTTAAAACCCCCTGTAACCCCATTTTAAAGTCTCTTTATACCACCCTGTAACCCCATTTTAAAGTTTCTTTGTACCACCCTGTAAGTAACGCCATTTTAGAGCCTCTTTAGATCAAACTGAAACGTCATTTAAAGAATCTTTATAATTATAACATCCTGTAACTCCATTTTATAAAATCAATGAAACATCCTGTAACCTTCTTATTTTAATGCCTCTTCATAACATCCTGTAACTACATCTATATATAAATTTGGCTTGTCTGTCTGTCTGTCTGTTTGTTTGTTTGTATCCAATAAACGTCAAAACGGCTGAAACCGATCGGGCCCAAATTTTTTGTGGGACATCTAGGGACCCCAGGGAAGGTTTATGAATGATCAAAATTTCAAATATTTGTCTCCATCAAAATTCAATCTTCATTAAATTTTTGAAAATTTTGAAAATGCACGAAATTTTTTGTGAAAATCCGCGAATTATTTTTGTTTTGTTTTACAATGTACACAAAGAGAACATGTTCACAATTAATTTAGAAGATGGGCGCGAAGTGCCCTCTAAGGCTAGTTTTATAAAATCAATGAAACACCCCTGTGGCTGTAACCTTCTCATTTTAAAGCCTCTTTATACCGCCCTGTAACCCCATTTTATAAAATCAATGAAACACCCTGTAACCTTCTCATTGTAAAGGGTTGTGTTATCTAAATGTGAGGTTTATAGAGTGTGTTGATAAAGGGTAGTTTAAGATAAGGATACATGAGGGAAAGAGGGAATTTTGTTTGTAAAATTTACGATATTTTTAACCTGGTTAATCTTATCTAGTCCAGATTTTAGAGAGGAAAAAATCGTTAAAACTACAAGTTAAAAGAGTCCGAATTTAATGAATTTGAGCCGAGTCTCAAATTCGCCCAAAACCGGTTTCAATTGAGCGACGGCTTAAATCTTGAAGCATTGAATACACATTTAAGTGAAACCAACCATATTTGAGCCACGTCTTAAATTTAAGCCGCGGCTCAAATTCTTTAAATTCGGCCTCAGAACTTATTTTTGTTTGTTTTTATGAACAACTAGCTGGTCAGCCCACTCGCTCCAGCAGTTTGGCCAGCTATAGGTAACATATAAATATAGTACATCTCTCTCCACATATATCTGGAAGCTGAAGGAGCAGTATACACCTTTTACAATTACCTGGAGTATTAGAGCATTGACAAAACACATAAGAAGGAGACTAGATCCTGCAAGCTTTGTATAATGGAAAAAACGTTTATATTCTGATGAATTGGTAGTTTTTTTAAATTCAAATAACACTAATCCGCAAACTCTTTCCTGAAAAAATACTGGAATATTCTGCAGTCGAGAACAGACCTCACTGAAGATTGGTCCATGACAATTGGTCCATGAAACATTGTGTATGAGGATGTTTATCTGTTTTTTTTTATTGAATAATAAATTGAATATATGCTAATATATATATATGAGCGGAGAGCTTTATTCCTGATGAGGAGGTTATATCAATTTAAATTTGAGAGACGGACTTGATTTTAAACATTTTCAGTAATATTTTTTCATTTTCTTTTTATTCCGAATATACGTACTAAAATCTCATTGTTCCAAATCTTCGACATTTATGATTCTAATGTCAACCCTCATCTAATATTTACAAATCAACCTTAAAAGGTCGGATTGCATCAATTATTACTTAATATTGAAAATATTGTTTTAACTTTTTTTAGAAATCCATGTACCGGGGCTAAAAATATATTTTTTTTTTAATTTCAGCGGCAACGCCGGGCGCATCTGTATAATTTAATACCAAGCGTTGTATTAACTTAACCAAGAATGATATTATGAACCTAGTAAACCCCGGGTACTCCATGCTGTAGTTGATAAAATATAAAATATTAAAGCATTAATATGAAATAATTGTAAAATGTTGAGTAACATCTGTTTACTGTGCAGCTATAACTTGAAAACAATAATTGGGACAAATTCAATAAAAAATAATTTCCGTATTTATTTTCTCAGAGTAAACAAAATACATGGTTCGGACGGAAATTAATCTCCCAAAATTTAACCCGACCCCCCCCCCCCCCCTACTCTCCCTTTTATAATCTTTAAATGAATGGGGAAAAATATTTTTGGATTGTTTACAATTGTACCCCTTATGTAATAAATACAGTTTGAACATAGATAAATTGCATTTTACATTGTTTGTAAATCTAACTGTTCTAATACTCAAATATGCAAAACTGTAGCAGCTACGTATTGTGACTAGCTTAACTACGATGATATATATCTGCGTAATATTGTAAATACGTATAAGAACTTAACATGTAACATATATATTTATAAATACATCTGTTGGTTGAGACTCTGCTTTGATTACGATATTAGGAGTAATTTTGATCTTCGTTGAAACATACGAGTTGAGATTGTGCCTAGAGATTTGGGATTGATTGATTAAGAGCTTGTTTGATAGCTACGCTTGTGTCCGTATTGACATTCAGAGCCGATAAGATCATGCCGCGCCAATTGGTTTGGCATTGATCCCTGTTGACTTTTATAGCTGAAGAGTTGTACCTGGATTGATACAGTTCTGGACAAAGTTTAAAAAGTACGGAATTTACTACACTTAGACTTATCGTGTTTCTTGGTATTTTGTCAGTTTCGCATTTCTTAATAAAATCTACAGATTAAATTATATAGTAAAAGAATTGATTCATCAAATGAGCATATTCAATTTTGAATATTTAATTTGATTCACTTTTTCTGAATAAAATAAAATAAATTTGGCAACCTATTATCAAAGTATATTCCGTGAACTGTCTCTTTCGTACTGTTGTTAGTACATCTATTAGACTACTGAAGTATAGAGTAGAAAAGTATTTACTATTATATTAGGTAACAGGCCCGGTACATTTAGCCTCGGGTTCACAACACAACTTGGAAGCTTAGAAACCCATCAGAGAGGGTTGGTTTACTTACTCCTGGTGTAGGATACTACAGGGAGGGTTTACTTACTCCATACGTAGGATACTACAGGGAGGGTTGGTTTACTAACTCCGGGTGTAGGATACTACAAGGATGGTTGGTTTAATTACTCTGAATGTAGGATACTACAGAGAGGGATGGTTTACTTACTCCATTCTACAGCGAGGGGTGGTGTAGGATACTACAGGGAGGGTTGGTTTACTTACTCCGGATATAAGATACTACAGGGAGAGTTGGTTTACTTACTCCGGGTGTAAGATATTACAGATAAGGTTGGTTTATTTACTCCGGATATAGGATACTACAGGGAGGGTTGGTTTACTTACTCCAGGAGTAGGATACCACAGTGAGGGTTGGTTTACTTACCCCGGGTGTAGGATACTACAGGGAGGGTTTATTTACTTACTCCGGGTGTAAGATATTACAGATAAGGTTGGTTTATTTACTCCGAATATAGGACACTATAGGGAGGGTTGGTTTACTTACTTCATGTCTAGAATACTAAGGAAGGGTTAGTTTACTTACTCCGGGTGTTAGATACTACTATATGAGGGTTTATTTACTCCTGGTGCAGGATACTACAGGGAGGGTTTATTTACTCCGTGTATACAATACTACTAGGAGGGTTTATATATTTACTCCGGGTACATGGTACACTGTGTAAAGTTTATGTTATGAATATATTTGTCGATTAAAATGACAATTCTGAGTCTTCATATCCCTATATTTATGAGTTGAACTCCAACAAGATAGAATACGTATTTATATCCTGAAATTTATGAGTTTATCTAGAATTTATTCTGGATGTTTTACCATTTACAAAAATATTGTAATATATGTTTCCAACCTGAACTCAAGGTTTTTAGGGTGAAACACATTTTTAGCATGGTGTACCAATAAACCATATCCATTTAATTACTGGTGATCTTAAACATTTTTAGCATGGTGAACCAATAAACCATATCCATTTAATTACTGGTGATCCTAAACATTTTTAGCATGGTGAACCAATAAACCATATCCATTTAATTACTGGTGATCCTAAACACTTTTAGCATGGTGAACCAATAAACCATATCTATTTAATTACTGGTGATCGTAAGCATCCTTAGCATGGTGAACCAATAAACCATATCTATTTAATTACTGGTGATCTTAAACATTTTAGCATGGTGAACCAATAAACCATATCTATTTAATTACTGGTGATCGTAAGCATCCTTAGCATGGTGAACCAATAAACCATATCTATTTAATTACTGGTGATCGTAAACATCCTTAGCATGGTGAACCAATAAACCATATCCATTTAATTACTGGTGATCCTAAACACTTTTAGCATGGTGAACCAATAAACCATATCTATTTAATTACTGGTGATCGTAAACATTTTTAGCATGGTGAACCAATAGACCATATCTATTTAATTACTGGTGATCTTAAACATTTTTAGCATGGTGAACCAATAAACCATATCCATTTAATTACTTTTATGAAACTATTGTGTACTTTATCATTCTTACTCACTTCATCGTAAATTTCATAATGAACGTGCTTTAAAGAATCATCGTGCTATAATGTCAAATTAGCTGAACATTAAAGCATGTGTGCTGTAAAGTTTTGATTCGTTCCCGGATTTTTCCAAAAAATTTAGGTTATTTCCAAAATATTTTTTTCAATTGAACTTTATGTTTTGACTTCTGCTTTTTTTCAAAGCTTATTTGTTCTAGAAATAGCCATTGAAATAA